TTGTCTTTTATTCATGCTATAACTGTATTATACGGAAATCGTAATACACGTGTGAATACTTAGACCACACAATGTCCCTGGTAAGCCTCTAGTTGACCAGCTCGTTGTGATCAACAGATAGTCATGGTTTCCTGACTATGGACATTGGATGTCGTTGATAACGGGATCACATCATTAGGAGAATGATGTGATGGACAAGACCCAATCCTAAGCATAGCATAAAAGATCGTGTAGTTCGTTTTGCTAGAGCTTTGCAAGTGTCAAGTATCTCTTCCTACGACCATGAGATCGTGTAACTCCCGGATACCGTAAGAGTGCCTTGGGTGTACCAAACGTCACAACGTAACTGGGTGACTATAAAGGTGCATTACAGGTATCTCCGAAAGTAGCTGTTGGGTTGACACGGATCGAGACTGGGATTTGTCACTCCGTGTGACGGAGAGGTATCTCTGGGCCCACTCGGTAATGCATCATCATATTGAGCTCAATGTGACCAAGGAGTTGGACACGGGATCATGCATTACGGTACGAGTAAAGTGACTTGCCAGTAACGAGACTGAACAAGGTATTGGGATACCGACGATCGAGTCTCGGGCAAGTAACGTACCGATTGACAAAGGGAATTGCATACAGGGTTTGATCGAATCCTCGACATAGTGGTTCATCCGATGACAACATCGAGGAGCATGTGGGAGCCATCATGGGTATCCAGATCCCGCTGATGGTTATTGACTGAGAGCGTCTCGGTCATGTCTGCTTGTCTCCCGAACCCGTAGGGTCTACACACTTAAGGTTCAGTTACGCTAGGGTTATAGGGATATGTATATGCAGTAACCCGAATGTTGTTCGGAGTCCCGGATGAGATCCCGGACGTCACGAGGAGTTCCGGAATGGTCCGGAGGTAAAGATTTATATATGGGAAGTCCTGTTTCGGGCATCGGGACAAGTTTCGGGGTTATCGGTATTGTACCGGGACCACCGGAAGGGTCCCGGGGGTCCACCGGGTGGGTCCACCTGCCCCGGGGGGCCACATGGGCTGTAAGGGGGTGCGCCTTGGCCTAATGGGCCAAGGGCACCAGCCCCACATAGGCCCATGCGCCTAGGGTTCAAGGGGGCAAGAGTCCTAGGAGGGTATGGCACCTCCTAGGTGCCTTGGGGGGAGGGAAAACCCCCCTTGGCCGCCGCACCCCCTAGGAGATTGGATCTCCTAGGGCCGGCCACCCCCCCTTGGCACCCCTATATATAGTGGGGGAGAGGAGGGACTTCATACCTGAACGTCTTGGCCTTTGGTTGCCTCCTTCTCCCTCCCCAACACCTCATCCACCTCCATAGTGCTTAGCGAAGCTCTGCCGGAGTACTGCAGCTCCATCAACACCACGCCGTCGTGCTGCTGCTGGTGCCATCTCCCTCAACCTCTCCTCCCTCCCTTGCTGGATCAAGAAGAGGAGACGTGGCTGTTCCGTACGTGTGTTGAACGCGGAGGTGCCGTCCGTTCGGCGCAGGTCATCGGTGATTTGGATCACGTCGAGTACGACTACATCATCACCTTGCATGCTTCCACACGCGATCTACAAGTGGTATGTAGATGCAAACTCTCTCCCTAGACTCGTTGCTTAGATGAACTCATAGATGGATCTTGGTGAAACCGTAGGAAAATTTTTAATTTTCTGCAACGTTCCCCAACACAAAGCACATAGAAATTGATTTTCACTTTGTACGAGAAAGGGTTGCGGCAAGGAAACTTGAGATTCGATTTATTCCTTCTAAGGATCAAGTGGCTGACGGTTTTACAAAAGCACTACCAGCAAGACCATTTGAAGAATTCAAGAGTAATCTTAACTTAGGTTAGTTGAGATTAAGGGAGGGTGTTAGAATATAGAGTTGTAATCTCAACCTCCTTCCTTCTCTTGTATTCTACCCAAACTCCTTCTGTCATAACCTTGTACGTCAAGCCAGGCTTCGGCCACGCATCAATATAAACTACCACGCGGCTCCCTCGATGGAGTAGGAACGCTTCATATCTTTCATACTGCAGAGGTCATGTGCCGACCAAGCTCCCGGATCCCGTGGTTCTGCTCGTGGCATGTCGACTAACAGTACACCCAGACCAGTAGTAATATGCAGAGATCTAAAATTAAGGCAGGTACACCCTCTGTAAACAAACATAAGAGGAGATAAGCTACGAATAGAGGTATAGCAAATGATACTTACTTATTTGGTAGAGATTACTGCTAGTAAGTTGCGTTTCCAAGCAAATGTTAAAAATGTGTTATGTTACTAGCAACGATTCAACGAACCGCGAAAGCGTGAACTACGAATAAGTACTATGAGTGGAGATGGGAAGGAAGCTAAAATGTTCAGTGACCCAGGATTGGATCGTCCTTTTGGCACGAGGAATTGGATGGTGGTTCGGGTGTTGGCCCGGGAGCGACCGGGTGTGGAGCTTTGACCACACTGAACTGGCTTCCAGACGCCACACCTCAAACGCGCCCCTAGGGGCTGCAAGTAGTATGCCACTTTGTCCGGCGCAACTCATCAATTAGCTCAGAATATGCTCATCACTGATCCGAAACTAACACTACAAACATGTAAAACAAAATGATGTAATGCGACGAGGATGTAAAACATGTCATTTTGTAACCTACTCCTTTATAAAAGGAAATTTGTGTCAAATATATAGATTAGAAGGATGCTATCTTAGAAAAAAACTAGAAGGTAAAAGGTAAAATAAACTCCACTTTTTTGACCTCCTTCACCAACTCTGGCGTGCAGCAAGCTCCCTCCGTCGTCACCAATGGCCTATGGCACCTCCGGTTGGGCCACGCTAGCAATAAAACTGTTTCCATTCTAGCTCGAGATTTCCTTCCAAGTTGTAATAAAGACATGCCTAGTAACACCGTATGCTCTTCATGTAAACTAGGCAAGCAGCCAAGACTGCCTTTTGCTAATTCAGTTTCTAAAACAAGTGCACCGTTTCAATTAATCCATTGTGACTAGTGGACATCGCCCATCTATAGTTTTTCTGGCTTTCAATATTATCTTGTGATACTCGATGATTTTTCCACAACTCGTGGACCTTTCCGTTACACAACAAGTCCGACACCTCCGCCACCGTCTCTCGTTTCTTCATGTACGTTCTCACGCAATTCCACGTACCTATACAGTGCATGCAATGCGACAACGGCGGCGAGTTCCCCACTTCCTCCTTGCGCGACCTCTTCTCTCGCTACGGCCCCTCCTTCCGCCTCTCATGCCCTCACACATCGCCACAGAACGGCAAAGCCGAGCGACCCATCCGTACCACCAACGACGTCCTTCACGTTCTTCTCATCCATGCAAACCTGCCACCTCCATTCTGGGTAGAAGCTCTACACACCGCCACTTACATCCTAAACCGGCGCCCCTCTTCTGCCATCAACTTTGTGACGCCCTACTTTCTTCTCCGCGGCCAACACCCCACGTACGACCTTATGCGCGCGTTTGGCTGTCTTTGTTTCCCTAACACCATCACTACGAGTCCGCACAAACTCGCACCATGGTCGTCTCGCTGTGTGTTCCTTGGCTATCCTCTAGAGCACAAAGGATATCGCTGCCTAGACCTGACTACTCGTAAAGTTATCATCTCTAGGCATGCCATGTTTGATGAACAGACTTTTCCCTATTCTTCTGCCGACTCCACACGCTCCTCCCCCATCCCGCTAGCCGCAGAAGATCCTGGCGCTGCGATTCACCCCAGTCTCCGCGCGCCTTCCATCTCGCACCCGTTCAGGCATCTATCCCCTCTGGGATCCCCGCCTGCCCCCTCCTCTACGGGCGCGCCGGTCCAACCACAACCCAGCTCCCCCCTGGCCCGGCTGACCCCACCACCGCGTGTCCCGCACAACCCAATTCCTCCGCGCCACGCCCACCTGACCACCGCGTCAGGCTCGCCAGCCACTACGCGCCATGCGCCAGCCCCCACGCCCCCCACCTCTCCACTGCATGAACAGGGCCCCGCTGACAGCTCCCATGCACCCACTACATGCGCGCCACCTAACCCCGCACTACCACCGCGAGCCGTTCCCGCCGCCCCTCCCACCAATCTCCATAGCATGCACACTCGGGGAAAATCGGGCTTCGCTCAGCCGAAAGTTCTTCACACCAGCACCTCTGACATGAGCCATATCCCCTCCTCTTATCGTGTAGCTCTTCGAGACCCAAACTACTACGCTGCAATGCTTGAGGAATATAACGCACTGATGCGAAATAATACTTGGTGTTTAGTGTCTCGTCCTGCAGGTGCAAGCGCTTATCCGAAACTAACACTACAAACATGTAAAACAAAATGATGTAATGCGACGAGGATGTAAAACAAGTCATTTTGTAACCTACTCTTTATAAAATGAAATTTGTGTCACATATATAGACTAGAAGGATGCTATCTCACAAAAACACTAGAAGGTAAAAGGTAAAATAGACTCCATTTTTTTTGACAAAGTGGAGTTCTCTCACATCCTCACCCTTTTGCGTAACAATTGCTAGGGCTGGGGATAATTGATTCTTTCATCTCACATGTCTATGACTGCAATAATAAAGACCAGTGCTTTTCTACATACATCTTACATGCACATCAAGGCTACGTGTATTTTTGGCATAAAAAAGGGGCTCTACATATAATTGCGGAATAAAGTGAAACATCTTTCCATGCATGAGAAGAATGCAAATCTACACATAATAAACAAGCAGCACCACACTTACCTCATCACAGTACAATCTACCCCGTTCGGCACTAGCACACTAGCTACGGAAGGATTATTCATCTGTGGTTCCTGCATGGATACGTACATACTCCCTCCATCCGTAATATAAGAACGCTTTTTACATTAGTGTAGTGCAAAAAATGCTCTTATATTACGGGATGGAGGGAGTACAATATATTTGTGCCAATAAAAATTGTTTCTAGAATTTTTGAGTACTCAAGTAAATTAGGAGGGGAAATAAAAATTACAGTAGCTCACTGCTTAATAACAAAAACAATGGCAGACACCGTACATATGGTTGATGAGGCCACAAGTGCAACGCCCGTGAACATCATGTTTGGCGCACACCACCGCTCTTGATGACCAAGTTCCATTACCGAGGTGATATTGTTCAAGACATCTATAACGTGTAGGATCCCTGCGTACAATGGTGTCACCTGTAATGGTAGGAACAACCTTAAAACCGACACTCAGACTCCTTCTGATGACAGTTTCGCTGCTTGCAATATCAATAAGGAGAGCATTGCCCCCGATGCTTTTCAATGGGACAACTCTTCCGAGGACGAGATCCGCTACGTTGTACACTACCATGCGCTTGGAGTGCTCGCTGCTGGAACCGACGAGCAATATCTCCGAGTCACATTCTATCAGTTCAAAAGGAGTGTGGATCTTGCCCTTTGGACATATGGCGATCACCTCGGGTGGCTGAAACGAAGTCGTGCTGAATCCAGACGTCTTTTCATGGCGAGGTGGGTCGATCTGAAAAATCCGTGGTTCATTGGTGCTCGATGACGCGGGCTTCTGCAGCATGTAAAATTTGCCTTGAGATGATGTTATGATGCTGTTATCCAGGGAGAAGGTCCAGGCCGAGAAACTCCATTGCTTGTCGTTGGTGGTAGCGAATACCACACGCGACAAATCTAGAAGCACGATCATGAGCATAGGAACTCTGACAGCACGAATGCTCAAGGAGGCAGTCATCCTGCCTGGCGACAAGTAAGGACGCTCCATGCGTGAACTCCAATGTATTGATCCCAAGCTCATCGTGACATACGTGATTGGCGGGAACTTGGCAACAGTCCCCGTGAAGGGGTGAAGCAGGCATAGATCATCGCCGTTTTCATTATCATGTTGCCGGTGCCGCTGCAGGAGGAGGAGGCCGTCGACCGGGCAGATGATGCGATGGTCGTCGAGAAGAGGGAGCCGGGGGCGGACAAACGCTCCGGTGTCGAGGTTGAGGAAACGCATCCGGCCATCTTCAAGGTGGAGGTCGTGGCCCTCGGGCAGCATCGTCCACCGTCGCGGGTGGAAGCGCGGGATGGCGATGCCATTTGCGCGCGGGCATGGTGTGCTGGACCGCACGTGCGTGCACACGGAGCGGAAGCGGACGTAGCCGCGCAGGTCGTCGCCCGCGAGCACCAGCCAGCCGATGAGCTCGACCAAGTCAGCGGGCATGGACGCCAGCGGAAACACGTTGTCGGCGCCCGGGGTGGAGGCGGCCGCATCGGTCGCCAGAGGGCCCCTGCAGTTCGCCGCCGTGGGCATCGATCGATCTGATCTTTTGAGATATTTTTGCCTACCCTAGCCGCCAGCATATGCGACTCGGCGACGAAGTATTCTGGAAGGGAGCTGCCATGCGTGTTTGTGCATGGGCTCGTCGGGCTAGCATCTGGCCCATCTCCCCGTTTGTCTCTGTCACGTGCGTGCGTGTACCCAGCAACAAACTAGAGGTTACGGCGGATTCTAAAAATAAATAAATAAAACAGGAGGTTAGGGCATCTCCATCTCAAACCGGACACCAGTCTGCGTACACTGATGTGGAAGCTGGCCATCCAAAGCTGTGTGCATACATTTCAAACCAAATTGAATACTAGACAAATGATATCAAACGCGGCGAATTTCATTAATGTTCGGACATAGTTTACATAAAACGGCCGATGTATCGACCGTTTAACTAAGAACAAGAAAAAACCCTAGGAGGCTAACTTTTAGCGGGCAACGATCTCGTACGCTTAGCCGTCTTGCCTGGCCACACCACTATCACTTTCTATGCCATCACCGTCCATCCAGTAAAGGAAGGGCACACGACTGCCGCGACAGCCTTGTTCGGCTGCCACTTGGCATTCGTGGCGGAACCGGTTAGCTTCGTCGCCCAGCCCGGCGCCTCGTATTGCGGACCCAGCCCGGCGCCTCGTACGACTTGATGAACACGGAGAGACGGGCCACATTGCGCAGTTCCTACTGCGTCATCCGCCTCACCGCGGTGCATGTAGAGTGGCTGCAGTCTACAAGAGCATACTGTGTTGGAATTGGCGGCATTACCTTGTTGTGCCATATGATATGATATTGCATATTTGCCACCGGCTGAGCTTTTTGTAAAAAGGAGAATAAGCACCAACCTCTGTATTGAGCGATGCACACAACCATGCCGCCCGCGGAGCCGATCTATCCTAGAACAGAAAATTGAGTGCGGCCGAACTATTTGCAAGACATGAGCAAAACCAGGATGGAACTCCTTCAATTTCAAAACATGAAAAAACCGAAAAGTAAGTCAATTCTATCTTTATATTTTTGAAAGATCATGAAGAATATGACTTTAAGGGTAAGAAAACAAAGTACACACATAAGGACCGAACAAACCGAGAAAAAAGGGATGATTCTTTTTCCTGATAAACTAAAAGTTACATCAAGGTTATTTGAAGTCGCCATCTCTTGCTTCATCTTTTCTAATCTTTTGAATCCAACGTTCCAACATGCTTCATCTTTTCTCATCTTTTGAATCCAACGTTCCAACACGACGTTTGGAAAAAGGAATATCAAGCGTAGACAAACTAGACAAACATTGAAGGTTTTCAAAAGCTACATGACCTGCTGAACACAATAGTTGATAGCTTAATATCATTGCTTGCAAAACACAACTGCGAACGCGCGCACCCATAGTAAGAGCATCTCCAATAGTTGATACAGAATACATCACCAAAAAGTGCTAGATGTAAAGTTTACATCACAAAAAAATGAGTTTTACATCACAAATAAACACCAACTCCAACAGATAATGTAACATACATCAGCCGCACGGGCGCTACTACAACATGCGATGTAAAAATGGCCGTGCCGCAACAATGCTAGAGCCGCACAAGTTTAAATAAAAATCATCCCAGATTAATACATAAAAAAATACAACAATTTCATCAATCCACCACATCAATGGACGGCCAGGTCGGGGTGGACTGATAGATAGCGGCGGTGGCGTTTCCGGGGAGAAATCGCTGGAGGCGGTAAGCCGGCGGGCGGGCATGCGGGCAGCGGGAAAATTCCAAATCACAATTTGGTGTTCGCGCGGCTGCCGACCGTTTTACATCTCGTGCGGCCAAGTGATGTATATTTGCATCACTTGGTGATGTATCTTATATCTGATGTAAATTGGAGTAATATTTTATACATCTACATCATTTGTTGGAGGGGCATTTTTTAGTCTAAGTGATGTAAAAAGCTGTAATTTATACATCTACATCATCTATTGGA